AGCATATTACTCTCGGGACCACGTGCTCATACAGACTCCCTTCCGCAGGAATCTCCAAATCCCGGCTCCACACTTTACTCATCTCCCTGTCCTCCCTACCTACTTAGCATGTGGCATTCAGAGAGCAATTCACAAATTCAAACAGGATCCAGTAGTACCCTAGACCTCCAGTGGTCCTTGATGTCAGAAATAATGCAAGATTCTGCTCCTAAGGGCTTCCTGAATAACTCTGCTTCTTGCTTTAACTTCAGCTACCCAGAACCTCCTATGGATCTGACACTTTTTAGTCTAATTCTAGAGATTTTGATTTCTTCTCATCAGTCACAGCCTTCTCTTCATTCATTCTCAGTGGCTCTCTTCCCCAGATTCAGTGGAACACTTGTACCCCTAAACTTACCCACCCACTAGACTGAAACACCTAGGGTCACAACAAAATCCTGCTGAGTTTGCAGCATGGTGACTAACCACTACCCCCGGCGCATTAAGTCAGTATGGGCTGCTGTAATAAAATATGAAACATTGGTGGCTTATCAACAACAAAAAAAATTTTCTCACAGATCTAGAGACTGTAAATCTGAGGTTAGAGTACTGGCATGGTCAAGTTCTGGTGAGGGTCCTCTTCCAGCTGTGGACAGCCAACCTGCTGTTGTATCCTCACGTAGTGGAAACAGCATAAGCTAGTTCTCTGGTCTATTCTTACAAGGGATTACCAACCCTACAAGGGCTCTATCCTCATTACCTCATTACCTCTCAAAGGTCCCACTTCTTAATACTACTGCGCCAAGATTACAATTCCAAAATTTGGGGGCAATAAAAACATTCAATACTGGCCCCAGTGTCATCTTCTGTCTCGGTGACTGCTTTATGTCCCTTATTCCTCAGAATCCTTGGCCACTGGCCAGCTAATCCTCTATTCCCTACCTTTCCCATGGCCATTTCTCTCCACACAGTTTGTGATGTTCACCACTTGTATCCAAATGTTCAAGTACAAGACCTGGACATAGCCACACTCTCCTTCTCATGGGCTACTAACACCATTGCCACCGTGATGACTGTAACTCTTCCCAATTGTAACACATAACTAGGTCGTATGCCCAACACTGACTACCAGTTTTTAGATGTGTCCATTTTAAACCACTTCAGAAATCCCTGACCCACATCACCAGCCATCACTTGACATTGCCACAAAAAACACATTGAAACTTCTTAGACAGAAGGCAGCTAAAAGCAAAATTGGCATCACCAATAAAAATTAACTTTACTACCAACTTTAAATTCCACTGCTCAATCTTCTAGCCCTCTAGATACTAAACCTAAAAGGCTTGGAGTAATGCTTTACTATGGTTCTCTCTTACCCTCAAAATCTTAAATATCTAGGCAGCCTTAAATTAAAAGTGAACCCAAAATCCTACAGATTCTTCCACTTCCACAACCACCACACTGACCCAGCCTCATCAACACTCACCTGGACCATACTAGTGTCTCCCTCACACCAGCATGACTTGTACCAATATGACTACACATGCTACAGTAACATGGAGGTTGATGAGACTAGCAACAGATCAACCTGCCTCTTCTCTTCCATGACCTCCCAAAGAGACAGCTTCTGAGAATCACTCTAAATTTGAGTCTTGCCATGCTTTCAGTTCCCCCAAGATAGAAGACTTGGTGACCCATGAACCAGTTCTGCGTTACCCTCAAGCATTACTTATGTCTGACACAACTTTCTTTTATATTCCATCCCACTGTCTGCCACCAAGAGGAACTATTAATCCAAATAACCCCTAATTTAGAACCAGGATCCTAGGCTTGGGTTTTTTAAGGGTCCTCAGGGCAAAGAGTGGAAAAGTGCCAAGGGATGCTATCCACAAATTCCCCAAGGTGGGTGCACCAGTGGGGGCCTGAGACATTCACTACTCACCTGTTGGCCCATGCACACTTCTGCAGTCATAGAAACCTGCAAGAAGAGGGAGATCATGACAAAAAGATATCACTGCAAAGCTCTGAAGCTCAAGGTTCCTTCTTCTGACACGGAGGCTGAAGCAAGGTTACCTGTGGATGCTGACATTACATCTCAGCCTCAGGCTTCCCACGTCAGGGCTATGACTAGCTGCGGGCCTTAAACAAGGACTCAACCTTTTCAGTGAGGCGAAGTTATCATCCGCCTTTCTAACAGTGACGAGTTTTTGGAGAAAATTTTAAAAGTTCAACTCAGAGCATGTAAATCTTATGTGTGCAACCATGGTCCCCGGTGCCATGAACACATCACCTTGTCATAGTAGACACGAATGTCACCGGCTCGATCGACCTCCAAGAATTTCCATACATCACGGCCCCTGCCTGTCTCACTTGATACCCGTCATTTTGCTAGGAATGGAAATCCAGCTACAAACTCCTACTGCACTGGACACAGCCATCTACCTCAAGAGCTCTAAGCCGATCCGCTCTGCGGGCTTTATGGCTAGAGTGAAGTGAAAGCGGGTGGGCGCTCACCTGAGCCGCGCCGCTGGACGTGACCGCAGCCATCGGACTCGGCGGACCGCCTGTGGCAGACAAGTGGGCAGCAGCCGCCCTAGCCCAGCCGCTGGCGGGGATTCGGAGAGGCAACACCTTCCGAGCGCCTTCCACTGTGGCCACCTCCCGCCAGACAAAGGGCTCTCGCCGTTCGGATGGCGCAGATGGATACAGACACGGTAAAAACGTGCGCCGCGGCGACAGCCCTGACCCAGCCGGGCCTCGACCGGAACGCGGAAGCGCCGCTTGGGAGGCTCATTGGCTCGGCGTCATTCCCACGGCATTCTGGGTAGCGTAGTTCCCGCCTGCCTGTGCCGGGCCAGGCGCGGAGGAGCCCCTTCTTCAGGAGTGCCCGGAAATGACGTCAAGCCTTTTGGTCTGGCATCGCCTAGGGCGGGTGCCGTGGCTCCCCTTTCTCGTTACTTCCGAGTGCTGCTTGGGCTATAGTTTTCATGAACTGCTCTTTTGTTTTCCTACCCAGCCGTTGGCCCAGGCTGGTGGCTCCTGAGGTAGAATAAGGTCTCTAGGGAAGACCTGAGGGCACCGCGTGACGGTACCACCGGCCCGATAAGGGCAGCGACGAACCAAGTGCTCTGCGGCCTGAGCTGGTAGTGGTGGGGACTTGGCTTGTGGGGCTATGGGTGGATTCAGGCCGTAGGAACCCACCTGGGGTACTCTGGGTGTCTTGATTTCCACGCTCTTCTTAATATCTATTTCCTCAGCCCTGGCCCCTGACTTGCCATCCCTCTCCTGTTTTCTACAGAGGTGCCATTTGCACGCATATAGCTCTCTCAGTGTACCGACTGGTTGATTCCACCATCTGCCTCCCCAGGTTCCTACATAAGATCGAGTTAACATCTCCTTTCCTCAGGCTGTTGGTGAGAAGACAAAACAGGTGTCCACGAGCTGAACTAAGTCATCCAGAGGGACAAAAGTGAAAAGTAATATGGAAATAAAGGATAAAGATGGTGTACATTCATCTGACCTCATTAGAAAGTGTGAGAGTGATTATTTCCATGTAAAATAATTTCTATCAATATATTGTGAGACTTTCTTTTTCAAGAAATACACATGCTTCAGTACTGAATTATGTATGCAGATGTTTTCAAACTGAAAACTTGATCAGGTTACTAAACAGCATTTACTGAGTCACTAACCTTCTGGCATAGTCATTTCAGTAACACGTTGGGATGTTTAGGTTGTGGTGTTAGTTTCACTTATTACAACAAAAATACCTGAGATAATCATATTGAAAACTTAGGCTCACATTTTCAGAGTGTGCAGTCCATGACTGTTAGCCCTGCTGCTTTGTACCCATTGGAGTATGTGGTAATCACCTGATGGCAGAAAGAAGAGTGAAGGTCCTTCAACAAGATAATGGCTTAACTTCCTAAGATCTTGCCCATATCCTGCATTAAATAGTCTCCTAGGAGCATCCAGAGCTGGGGACAAAGCCTTTAACACACAGGCTTTTGGAAAACAGGAGATGCTATTATTTCTAAGTCAAGGTGTCCATGACCAAGGCTTCTTATGATTATCTCCCCCAGTAGTTGCACTGAACATCCTATAGGAACTTCCATTTGTGCCAAGGTGTGTCATAATATGTATCATTTCATCATTGCATCTGCAGGATGAGGTGGTTCTCTCTAAACCAGCATGTACCTACTACATGCAGACCATGTGAATGTATGCCATTTCATAGAAACAAAGACACAGCCAGTCACCAGATTCGTGGGAGCACTTTTACAAGAGTCACAGTCCTCTTCTCTTACCGCAGGGTCCTCCACTTTCTACTTGATTAATCACATTTAGTATTTCTGTACCAATTATAGCTCATGCTTGAGTGAAACCCTCTATGGAATGACTATAAACAGATAGACATGTCTTCCTTGTAGAATGGGGAAAGCTTCCTCTCAACAGCATGGGAAATTATGTGGCAGCAGGTGAGAACTGGATAAACTGCTCTTCTTAGAAGCACTACAGTAACTGACTCCATAGTAACACACTCCTGTCAGTGATGGCATTAAACCCAAAGCTTTGTGCATGTTAGGTACGTACTCTACGACTGAGCTACACTGGCCCTCATAGTGACCTCATTTCACTAAAAAGAAGCATGGGGGGCACAGATCAGGGCTGTAACATCCTCCTAAGTCAGCAGAGAAAAGTGGACCAAAGGATGACAAATGAGAACTAGTTTTTGCCTCTATGTCCCAACTGAAATACAAAGTGAAAAACTGTTGGTCCTCTAACACAGCTCCACTCCCATCAAAAACTGAATACTCCAAATATTGCAGCTACATTTCAATAATGAAGCACTTATTAGGGCACAAACCAGAGCAGTCTGATGCTGAGTTACTGGCTGGTGAATGGAAGGCTGTGAAAGTCAACCACAAAGGTCACATGAGACCAAGAATCTTCATGAAGGTCAGCCATTCCTGGAGGCATCTAGCAAGCTGCAGATTGAACCGTCAAGTAACAAATGGGTCATACGTACATTTTAATTAAGTCAGAAAAAGGAATGAACTCCCACTAAAGGCCCAGGCTGTTTAAGACTTCCTCTAGGAAATAAGCATTTTATTTTCTTTAGCACGCTGAGGCAACTGACAACGGTGCAAGGTAACAGAGGAAAATGGCTTCGACCAGAAAAAGTGACAGTGACGGAACACCGGCAAGGGCCTTGGATTGTTTAGAATAGGAACAGCACCTCCCCTAGGCCTCATCAAACTGAGAACTCGGGAAATCTCATTCTGCTAGGTATACGGAAGCATGAGGTTTAACTTCAGGCAAGTAGTTCCCTCAGAAAAGCTAACACTGAAAAATGAAACAGCACATTCCCTGTAGGTCTGAGGCACAGTATGAACCTTCAGGAGTTAAATAATGCTAGACCTTGAGCCTAAGGCTTCTCCATATTTGTTGCCTTCACGAGTCCTCTCCATGGAGTGAGATTTTCGGTGGAGAATGAGGCCAGAGTGTTGTGTAAAAGATTTCCCACATTTGCCACACTCATAAGGCCTTTCTCCAGTGTGAACTACCTGGTGTTGAATAAGGCCAGACTTTTGGATAAAGGACTTCCCGCACTGACCACATTCATAAGGCCTTAATCCAGTGTGAATTTTCTGGTGTTCAACAAGGGTGTAGCTTTGTCTAAAGAATTTCCCACACTCGCTGCACTCAAAAGGCCTTTCTCCAGTGTGTGTCCGCTGGTGCCGAACAAGTTTGGATTTGAACATAAAAGCCTTCCCACATTCCCTACATTCATAAGGCCTTTCTGCAGTGTGAACTTTGTGGTGTTTATTGAGGGTTGCCCTTTGGCTAAAGGATTTTCCACACTGGTCACACTCAAAAGGCCTAGCTCCACTGTGAATTAACTGGTGTTGAATAAGGCTGTACTTTAGGCCGAAGGATTTTCCACACTGGCTACACTCATAAGGCCTTGCTCCAGTGTGAATTATCCGGTGTTCAAGCAAGCTGTGGCTCTGTGTGAAGAATTTCCCACATTCACCACACTCATAAGGCTTTTCACCTGTGTGAGTTCTCTGGTGCCGAACAAGAGTGGATTTGGACCCAAAGGCTTTCCCACATTCTTCACACTCGTAAGGCCGTTCTCCAGTGTGAATTCTGCAGTGTTCAATGAGGTTAGAACTTTGGCTAAAGGATTTTCCACATTCACCACATTCATAGGGCCTTTCTCCAGTGTGAACTCTGTAATGTTTAATAAGGGTAGCTCTTTGGCTAAATGATTTTCTACACTGATCACACTCATAAGGTCTTTCTCCAGTATGGATTCTGAGGTGGTCATTCAAGTGGGAGGTTTGGCTAAAAGATTTCCCACAGTCATTGCACTCGTAAGGCCTTTCTCTATTGTGCATTTTCCGAAGCTGAGTGAGTGAGTACTTGCAGTGGTAGGCTTTCCCACATTTGGTAGATTCATAAAACCTTTTTCCAGTATAGATTCTTGGGTGGTGAACAAAAGTATGTTTGCGGCTGGAAGCTTTTCTTAATTCACCCCACTTATAATGGCTTATTCCACTAGGAAAGGTCTCCCCAAACTCAGTGATTGTGTCTGACTTCTCACAGCTAGAAACAGATGGAGGCTGGATAAAATCCAATGTGGATGAGAAGTCCTTTCCAACTGTCCCCCAGGTGAAGGTCTTTCCTGACACTGACTTCCTCAATGAAGTGTTGTCCAAGGCTCTTTTCAAAACTTCCTCTGAACTGTGAGTGTTCTGGTCCTGATGAAGGTCTGCATGTGGATCCATCAAGTATGGGTTCTGTGCAGGTTGATCTGTCAGTTGCAAAATGTCTTTTAGGACTGGGACACAAACTTCACAGGGGTGAGTGTCCTGGGTGGATGGACTTCTCTCTGGAGTTCTGACCTGTGACGATCCTTCTGCAGAAACCTGCTCAGAAGGAATCTCTTCGTTCTCCATTCCATGCCAACAAACTGAAAGCAGAAAAGTACTGATAAAATAAATGTTGACTATGGTGGGAGTGTATTATTTTAAAAAATATTTTGTGACTTTTTGTGTGTGTGTGTGTGTGGTGCTAGGGTTTAAACTAGGGCCTTATGGATGCTAGACAAGTGCTCTACCATGGAACTACAACCCAGCCTGATTTTCTGATATCTTAAAAAACTTTTCCAAAAGTATCTGCAGTCCCAGTTACTCAGAAAGCAGGGACAGGAGGATCATTTGAACCTCAGAATTCAGGGACAGCCTGGGCAATACAGCAAGACTCTATTACCAAATCAAAAACCATTTTGCTGGCTGGGGAAGAGACTGCTGCTCTCAGAGCAAGACGACTCAGCAGACCACTGAAATGCAAATGAATCAACCCAGAGCCCATATTCCAAACCGTATTTCTATATGGCCTGAATTCTTCAGAATGTAACAGTCCTCTGCCCTACTCATCCTGAGGTCTGGCAGCAGCTAAGGCTAGACACTTCGCCCCAAAGCCTTCTGAAATTATTCAGACTACTGAATCCTAAACTGTTTACAATGATCTGCCTTTTGCGCAGGAACTCCAATAAAGGTGTGGCTTAATGTTTCTGTTCTGTCCTTTCTGCTCCGACCACCAAGTGCTTCTTCAAATGGCCCCATTTGGTGTAGTGTTCGTGTTCTAATGCCACCCCAAGTAGTTAACTCTGTCATTGACTTTACCATCTCTGTGCTGTCATTCAATCACCTCCGTAAGTTAAACCACAGGTGCATTTGAAATAGGAAAGGGGAAGCCTCATCAGGTACCTATCAAGGAACAAATCTATAGTGGATTGTTCTGAGGACGAGGGAGCTAGACACAAGGCAGGAAAGGGGCTGCCCAGGGAAATGGGGCTTCTATGAGCCATATAATGGGGGCCTCACCAGACAAAGGACATAAGGCAAGGGCACACCACATGAAGGACAAGCAGGGCTTCCAATGCGTTCCTCTGCCAACAACTTTCGGCAGGACTTTGTCATCAGTGTGCTATGCTGGGCCAAAGGCCAGCAGTGTCTGCAGCAAGAAAACTTAACTAGAATTGAGTGGGAGACGCACACCTCCGGACACACGTTTGTGGGTCAGTGTTAAGAAATACTGTAGCGGGGGCAGTGCAAAGAAGAGGTGACTCAAAAGGTGAGAAAGGACAGAAAGGTGAGGGCTGCATAAGGCTGGAGGCTGCAGACGAAACGTCAGTAAAGCGTCAAATAAAATTAAGAAAAAGTAGAAACCAGGGGCCCAAAGGAATTAGCTCCAGTCTGGGGGATACAGGATTAGGAAACAGCCTAAAATGCATGCACACCTATAAACCTATCACTTGGAAGACTGAGGTTAGAGGATCAATAGTTCAAGGCCAGCCTAAAGTATGCATCAAGACCCTGTCTCAAAAAAACAAACAAAAAACAAAACCAAAAAAATATACAAAGTGCTATGTCTTCCCCCATTTGCCACTAATTAAGGCCCGGTGTCTCCTGGAACCATACTGCCTGTTCAGGGCTCTCCTCACACCCTACTTGTAGGACTACATGGGACTCACGTGAAACAAATGCTAAGGAAAAAGAAGATACATAAGCCTCTAGTACAGGCCTAATGCCACTCGGCAACCAAAGACCACAGGAAAGGACATTACAAAGATCCTTCAAGAAGATCCTGGCACAAACACCCCATGGTCCATCTAAATATTGATCAGAAAAATGTCAAGGTCCCTAGGATGGGTTATGGCACTTGGGACATCAAGTCACATAGGTGAGGATATTGTGAACCAAAGAAGCTATGGATAAGAAAGGTGAAACCAACTGGGCAGACTCAAGAATTCTGGATTCTCTCCTGCATTCTTTGGGGTAGCACATTTCAGGCTTCCCAGGTAGGGCACACAGCTCATCCCTGACACCATGGCACATATGCCAAGACTAGGGAAGTCTGCAGGGTCTACGTCTGGCTCTGGAGAGTTCAGAGCTGATTCTAGACAAAAAGCGGATGGACAGAAAGCAATTCAAGAGCATAGAGTGGGTGTGGGGGCCTTACCCAGTGAAGTTACAAGTGCAAAGTTCTCCAGCATCACACCGAGGTACAGGAGCCTCTGAGTCTCATCAAGAAGCCCCCACTCTTCCTGGGAGAAGGAAATGGCCACGTCCTCAAAGGTCACACAATCCTGCCATGGTGAGGACAGATCTTTCCATGATCAGCTTCTCTCCTGGGACCCCAAGTTCATCCTCCCATATGTTCCCACTGCTCACCTCCTTGCCCAACCCCCGCCTCTGGGCAGCTACAGGTGGCACTGATGCCCACCCTCTCCTTGTGGTCCCACCAATCACTGTGTCCTCCCAATAGGAGAGGTCATCTAAACTCTGGGAGTGGTATACGAGGCTGGATCCCTGCTAGTCAGGCAATTTTCCTGAGGGTCTAAAAGTTAGGCTCACCCATCATTCTGATGCCCTCCGTGGTCCTTCAGCTCACACTCCCCTCTATGTGGATTTTACCTTTTGTACCTACCACACCCCACACAGCCTCACTCCAGTGACCACCTCCACCCTCCTGCCTAACACCACAGGCATCTATGGTGCTCTCCCCAAACTGACATAGGATCTAGTACCACCCAGACCAGTGATTGACTCAACTGCCAGACACAGCCCCTATCTTGCTCTGAAGACCTCTGAATTAGTCTGCATTCATTGCTAAAAAAAGTGTCCGAGGAAAGCTACGTTATAAAGAAAAGAGATTTATTTTGGCACATGGTTCTGGAGATAGAAGTTCTACAGGCCTTATTTAGAATGGCCTTCTTGATGGCAGACTCGAGGCAGTGCAGAGCACTATACACCCAGAGATGGGAAGAGCATGTGCGTGAGAGGAGGCACGTGTGCACGGTCTCTCTTCTTGTAAAACCATCAGGACTCAATCATGGATCTCTTTACTAAAGATTTACTCTAGTTCTAGTCTCTTCCCAAAGGCCCCCACCTCTAAACACCAGTCAGATTAAGCTTCTGCCCTCCTAATACTTTACACTGAGGATTACATTTCAACATATGAAGCTCTGGGGAATACTCGAGCCATATCCAAACGACAGCAGGTTCTCTGCCTGACTATTCTGCCACCCAGAACCCCCGTAGATCTGACACCCACAGCGCTCTGTACCACACCTGACATCTCATCTCTGATAATGTCTTCCTCTCCTTCCTCACTCAATGCCTGGCCACGGTAGCCCTCTACCTCAGGCCTAGGGACTCCCTCAGATGAGACTGAAACACCCCAGACACACCAAAGATTACTACAAAATCCCAGTGGGTCTGAAGTGTGCAAAATAAGCGCAGATCCTAGCTTCAGTGCCTCAGTTACTTCTAGGCTTTCATATGAGTCTCATGTTCACTTATTCCTCAGAGCTTTGGCAACCTGTCAGCCCTCTTTCTCACACCTTCCTCAGAGCCACTTCTCTCTCACATCTGTCTTCGTGATTCCCACAACAAACACTAGGTATACGAGTATAAGACCGGGTACTAACCTCACCCTTCTTTTCCTGGGCAACTGAATGTATTACCAGCAAAACTAGGCCTCCCCTTTCTAACTGTGACCTAGGCTACACTGGGCAAGCACTGACCACCACTTTGCAAATGTAGCTATCCCACTTCTCAGTCCAAGTCCTTTACGGTCAACTATCCATTTCGTGTCTGAACTAACTGTTGTTTGAAACATCTCAGACTCCAAAGACGTCCCAAAACAAAATGGGATCTCCCCAGTGATGTGACCCTAATATAAAAATCATCCCAGTTAATGGTGCTTCAATACTTCTGTCAACCCCAAATATCTTGCTTTCACAAACTCCCTTACTCTCTCACACCTTCAAAAATCTGTAAATCTAGCCCTCCCCACTTAAAAACTGATTTAGAATCCACAACAACCACCTCTATGACCAACACAATGATCCAGCCACCATCAACAGTCACTGGACTACTGCAGATTCCTCACCCTTCCTACCTCACCCTCAAACTCAGTCTGCTCTACATTTTGTAGCCACAGGGTGCCTGTGAGGACCCAGGTCTAATCATCTCCTTCCTGGGACCCAAAGTTCCCACTGCCCAACTCATTTCCAAAGAGACACCAACATCTGAGAGTCATTACAGGTCTGACTCGTGCACTCTTAAGGACCCAATGGCCTCTTTTTTTTTTTTGAGACAGGGTCTCACTATGTAGTTGAGACTGATCTGGAACTCACTATGTAGCCCAGGCTGGTCTCGAACTCGCAGCGATCCTCCTGCCTCAGCCTCCCGAGTGCTGGGATTACAGGCTTGCGCCACAACGCCCGGCTTGCACTCTAGTTTTTAATCTCCACGAGAAACAAAGGAGACCTGGAGTTCCCTAAAACTTTCCTTCAGCATTCACTCATCTGGTATTTAAGCCTGGGATAACCTTCCCACGGCTTACTGCAACTGGTTTCCAGCAATAGAAACCACTTCACGCAGCCACCAGCCTGGCTATATGGTCCTGAGTTTAGTGTCTGTTCGGTCCTTGGAGCCAAGTGTTACAAGAGCGCCAAGAGTACAGAATATATTAGCCCCAGTGACAAAACAGGCGAGTACCAGCGCGGGCTCGGCACAACCTCCACTGACCTGTGCGAAGTCCATCAGCGCTTGTGGAGTTACGGGAAGCTGCGGGAAGAGGAAGTGAGAGGCCAGTGAGCACTTCTTGTCCCCTGCCCAGCCCCAGAGCCCGGCGACCCCGGGGTGACTGCGTGGTGCCTTGATCCCCGACCACAAGGACCCGGCGGCCACTCCCTCCCGGGACGATCTAATACGGAGCAGCTTCCTGAAAACTTCACTCGGGCGCCAGCGCCCCGGCGCGGC